AGAAGGACCACAAAGCACCACTATGCGAGATGGCAGAAACAGTACAATACATGATACCAACAACAAAAGCACAACCCAAGATGGAGCCAAGATTCTTCAAAGGAATCTGGCTTGGCAGGGATACAATGACTGGAGAGTCAATAGTCGGCATCCCTGGCAAGGTCATCAAGGCAAGAACAATTCGAAGACAGATCATGCCAGACAAGTACGACAAGCAACTATTGGATACCATTAACGTGTATCCAAGGAACTTGCCAACAACACCAATGGCAATTCCGCCACAATTGCTTCTACCAGCTGACAACACCACAAGCAGACAAGCGATCGGCACACAAGCTGACATTACAGTGGAAGATACAAGCACACAGACAGTACAAGAGACACCACTGGCACTACCAACACAAGCAATGCATCATCAGCCAATGGATACGACAATGGCAACATCACCATTGGCAACTTCACCAACAACAATGACAAGACCACCACTGCCATTACCACCAGCAAGCAAGCGACAACACGAGGAGCCTACAGGTGAAGCACAATCCAAACAATCAAGGACAGCACAGTCCTCAACAGCAGCAAACAGAGGACAAGACGAAGAACAACCAAAAGCAAAGATGAGAATACAAGCAGTGACGATTACCACAAAGAAAGGTGACAAGATCACCACAGCATCCTGTGAAGATGAACAAGAAGCAGAAGTGGAAAGGATGCTACAAGAACCCTTCGTCTACGACAACGAAGGTCTTGATCCATTGAAAGTACAACAAGGAATGAAGAAAGAAGCACAATCGATGAAGACACAAGGAGTGTTCACAGAGATGAACTACAATGATGTCCCAGAAGAACACAAGAACAAGATCATAGAATCCAAGTGGGTCAACAAACCCAAACAAGAGGAAGTGAGATGTCGCATAGTAGCAAAAGGTTTCCTGGAAACAATCCAAGACCTTGACAACATCTATGCGAGCACACCGATCTTTGGGATCTTGCGCATCCTACTGACAATGGCACAGCACAACCACTGGACGATACAAGCAGGAGACGTGTCAACAGCATTCCTACATGCACCAGCAGCGACAGACAATCTTTACATGTGGCCACCGCCAGAACTATACCCAAGTGGTCACAACACAACCACAGTGTGGAAGCTCAACAAAGCAATCTATGGACTACGATCAAGTCCAAAATCTTGGCAAGATCACTTTGCACGAGTCCTGCAACAATTGGGACTGTCTCGACTCACAAGTGAACCCAACGTGTACAGGAACAATGAACAGACAATGTTTGTGATGGTCTATGTGGATGACCTACTATTCCTTGGACAACAACAAGAAGTCGACAAGACTTTCAAGGAAGTACAAAAGCATGTACTACTACGACCAACCGGCACATTGGGAATTGGCCAGACAATCCAATTCCTTGGCAGAGACATCCACAACAATGGAGACTTCTTTGAGGCGAGCCTCAAACCAGAATACATCACTACATTGCTGCAGGAAACAATGATGGAAGCAAGCAATCCAGCATCAACTCCAGGGACGGCAACCCTGAAACAATCCACAAACGATGATGCACCTCTAGATGCACAAGAACATGCAGACTACAGGAGAGCAGTAGGAAAGCTACAATGGCTGACCTACACAAGACCAGACATCAGCTTTGCGACAAAAGAACTAGCGCGAGATCTACAACAACCAACGCAACAAAGCCTGCGCAAAGTGAAACACCTCCTACAATACCTCAGGGGAACACAGCACTACAAGATGATCCTGAGGACAACACATACACCACAGACAAAGGAACCCATCGACCTCAACATTTATGTCAATGCGGACTGGGCAGGATGCCCAAGCACAAGAAAATCAACAAGTGGATTCATCGTGACAATGATGGGATCCGTGGTACAATTTGGAAGCAGAACACAAGCAGTAGTAGCACTATCATCAGCAGAGTCAGAACTATATGCAATAGGAACAGGAGCACAAGAAGGACTACATATAGCAAACTTCATCAAGGAAGCCACAACAACAAAGGTGAACATTCGCATACACACAGACAGCACAAGCGGCAAAAGCATTGCAACAAGAATTGGCTCGTCAAAGAAAGCAAAGCACATTGACCTGAAGTACCTCTTCGTACAACAACTGGTACAGAGCGGGGGTACTGTCAATACACAAGATCAGCACACACGACAACCCAGCAGACACACTGACAAAGTATGTCCCGGCAGAGGTGCTTAACAAACATCTCTACATGGCGGGCATTCAATGCCCACAACACCACAACTGAACTGCGATCGTACAAACAGTTTCACAACCATGGCAGCATCCACGCGTGTACAATACATACACGACGGCATCGAGCCATGGCACACTACTTTAGCTACTATGTGCATACTATGTCATAGACAATATGTACTACAAGATTTCAGTCTCACAATGGATCCAATCTTTCTGTCGTCGACTCGTAGAACAATTTGATGAACAATGTGTTTGCTCCATCGTAGTGTTGATGTACAACTGCACGGTGCTATACAATGCACCTTGGATCAAAGGCCTTGAGCCCAGCCTAGCTGAAGAGGAAAACAATACAGAG